GTGTTAACGGTGGGTCAGAGTCGAGGAAATGTTTTGTGTTGTTTAGTGATGCGTCTATTATCGGTCTTGGGTGTGTGTTGTTCAAGACGATAGGGTGGTTGCTTATACGTCGAGGTAGTTAAGGTCGCATAAGCATAAATATCCCACACATGATTTAGAGTTGGTTATGGTAGTGTTTACGCTAAATATTTGGTGTCACTACTTGTATGCTGAGAGGTGTGTCATTTACACTTATCACAAAAGTCTCAAATATATCATTACCAGAAAGAGTTTAATTTAAGGTAGAGGTGTTGGGTTGAGTTGTTAAAGGATTATGATTTCTTGATTAAGTGTCATCCAGTAAAAGTGAATGTTGTTTTTGATGCTTTGAGTTGTAATTCGATGGGAGATTTTCGAGCTTTGTTTCAAGTTTAAGCAAGTCTAAGGATGGTGAGTTAGTTGCAAAATTACAAATCAAGTCTATGTGGTCTCAACGTATTCTTTATTTGGAAGGAAACAAAGTTGTAGCTTGTGTGAGATGGTTCTGGTGGTGATTTCTCATTGCATTTCGATGGTGTTATGTTTTCAGGGTAGATTGTGTATGCCTGCTGATTCGAGTTTGAGGAGAGAGATTCTTTCGGAGGTGTATAGTAGACTATATGCGATGCATCAGGGTAGTACAAAGATGTATCGGGATTTTTGAGAATTGTATTGGTGGCTGGGATTAAAGTGTGCGGTTGTTGAGTTTGTATGATGATGTTTAGTTTGTCAGTGTGTGAAGGCTGAACATTAGTGTCCTTCAGGTTTTTTTCAGAATATTAGTATTCCAGAGTAGAAGTGGGAGTGTATTACGATGGATTTTGTGATGGTTTTGTCGTCGCTATCAAAGAAGGATTCTATTTGGGTTATTGTTAATCGATTTTCTAAGAGTGTGCAATTTTTACCAGTGTGTACGACATTTTCGTTGCAGAGGATAACAGAGTTGTATATAGCTGAGATAGTATGGTTGCATGGTATTCCCTTATGGATTATTTTGGATCGAGATTCACGTTTTATGTCGTGGTTTTGGATAAGTATGCATGATGCTTTAGGTTCGAGGCTTAGTCTTAGTACGACTTATCATCTACAAACGGATTGTCAGTCAAAGTGCGTGATTCAAGTTTTTGAGGATATGCTTTATGCTTGTGTTATAGATTTTAGTGGTTCTTGAGAGTATTATTTGCCTTTGGTAAAGCTTACGTATAATAATCGCTATCATTTGAGTATTCAGAAGCCTCCGTTGTAGGCAATGTATGGGTGTAAGTGTCATACTACCATGTGTTGATCTGAGTTGAATGAGTGGCATATTGTTGGTCCAGATTTGGTTTATGAGATGGAGGATAGGGTTAGTTTAATTTTAGAGCATTTCAAGGTTACTTTTGATCGATAGAAGTCATATATTGATTTGAAGCGTTGTGAGATTGAGTATTTCGTGGGAGATTTTGTGAAGGTTTCACCTTGGAAAAAGATGTTGTGTTTTGAAAGTAAGGGTAAGATTTGTTCGATATTTATTGTGTAATACCCAAAATTTTGGTTAGTGACCAAAATATAAATTTTAAAAGTTTAATGGCTAAAGTATAAACTTTGGAAAAGTTTAGGGACCTAAGTGATAATTTTCCCAAAAAGAATTTTTATTCCATAAATGGACAATTTACTCTTGAATGTGGGGTTTTTTTGAAATCAGATTCTTGATCTAAAATTGTGTTAAAAACTAGAAAGTGTTAAAGTCTGGTAAAAATTCAGTAAATCAGATCGAATAGAAATTTTGAGAAAATTTGAAGGATGATAAATTAGGCTTAAAAAATATTATTTCCACATTTTAAAATGATGGAAAATATTATAAACCAATTGATTTGAGGATTTAATTCCATGTTAAATTTAGACAGTTAGATTAAAGTGGTAAGACTGTAATTTTTGGGAAATTGCAAGGGCAAAATGGTGAAGTGTGAAATATTTTGTTCATCTTTGACGTTTGGAAGATGATAAGGTTGAGGTGTCTTGGTTTTGTGGTAAATATGAAGTTTCATTGAAGGTAAATTGGATTTTTCTCCATTAAATGAATAAAATATTCATTTAAGCTTAAATTAAAGGTAAATTAACATGAAATTAATCTAAATTTTCATGTTATTTTGTTCATCTTCCTCCTCCCAAGCCGTGAGCTACTCCAAAGGTGAGAGAAAATTTCTTTTTAATTTTTCAGCAACTTCCTTTGGATTTTGAGTTACGTCGTGAAATAGAAAATTATTCTACACGAAAAATGTTATCTTTTTGTACCATTTATGCTTGCTAATATTGCTTGAATTCAAAGATCCCAAATTCTAGGGTTTATTTTCATATTAGGGCTTATGGAATTGATGATGAATCTTGATTTTTTTGAGGTTGTAGATTCATTTTTAAGCTTGTGTCATGATTAAAACATGTTCAATCTTCCTAGAAAATGTTCTATAATATTCGGCCAAACTATAAGTTAGGGAAACTTTGTGTTTTGTTGAAATTAGATTAGGGATTTGATTGTAAAGATGTTGTAAGGGTGGATGGAAGTTTATTTTATGCTTGAATCGAATCAAAATTGAGCAAAAACAAGAAAAACCTAGTCTAGGAGCTTTGGAACATTCAGCCAAGGCATAAATGGATGATAAAAATTTTGGAAAAATTATGTAAGGGATGTAGGAATTATTCTACAAGCCTTAGAAATTGTTTTTGAACCATTTGGTAATTTTTGAAAAGTTAGGGGACCAAATCGATAATTTTTGAAATATAAAGGGTTGTTGTGTAATTGTTCTATAATCGATGTACTATGCTGGAAATTATTGTTTGGGAATTCAAATGAGTGTTAGGATGTGAAATTTGATCATTTTGGAAAGTTTTGTGATTTATATGTAATATTCAATTAGTTTGGGTGTTTAATTGTAATTATGCCTTTGTATATGTGCTTGGGTGATAATTATTTCAATGCTGGAATTTTTGCATTTAAACTTTGAGTGGTAAAATGGTGAAGGAACAATTTATATAAGTTTGAAAAGTTTGTGCCAAATTAAAAGAATTAATAAGTGTTGAATTATTTAATGGTGAATAAGTTTCAAGTATGATTATGGATTTTGTTTTGGAAATGTATTTATGTTAGTACAATATTAACATATGTATCTATATAAATGTATGATTTTGTACAGATCGTGATTGACTTTGCGTTCGAAGCAAATTAAGTATAAAAAGGATTAAGTTTGGAGCATAGTGAGGAAAATCTTTTGAAAATTATCAAGTGTCAAGATGAGTGCAATGCATGCATGACATTATACATGGATGTTTTATACATCATCAGGCATACTTACACTGAGTCTACCTTGTTTATATCAGCATGATATTATGTCATTATTCATAATATCGACATGACCTTGATATGTCAAAGTGTGAAATCATAATGCATTGATCACTAATATATATGATATTTTGTCATGAAAGTTATTTCGGGTATTAACTACCCTAATGTTAATTACATGAATATGTGATGCCATGGATTAAATAAATTATACTATGCTCAAGTATGTCGTTGAAGAACAGAGTATAATTGGCATGCCATAGAGCATAGCAGTTGTAGGTTTATATTAGCACTATTGTGTAAGGAAACTAAGTGCAGGTGGTGGGATTGACCTTATGTGTCATGAATGAGTAGTGTTAATCATAGCACATCGCATAAATACATTATCACAACATTATCATACTAAGAATTACCAAATTATAGTTGCATTTACTAAACCCTTGATTCACTGCTCTCCTAAATACTACTACATTGTTGACAATTCCATCTTTTGTATACTTTCCATCTTTTTGTTATCTTATCATTTCAAACACATATCTTTTGGATACTTTCCATTTCAAATCTTTTGTAGGATTCATTATATGTGGGTTCAACATCAGATGCACTTGTAGTGTACATTTTACTACTTGAATACGATACGTATACTTGCATGATTGTTGTAACATTTATTGTAACATCACACCCCCACCGCTCTCACTTAAACAATGAAATCCTTTTGCCAAACCAAATTAGTATAAAATATTCTTATAGCAACAAATACCCTTACATTCTCAAGTCCAAGACATCTCCTCCTCAGATGTACTACAGTTGTATAAATCACTAGTCACCAACATTGAAAGAAAATCGAAAGTCATGGATATAAGGAGAAGTAGTAGAATAAAGAAGGAGAATAAAAAGTAGAAAAGTAAAAAAGGTTCACCTACAATTCTTAAAAGAAAAAGAACAAACAAAGAAAATAGGAAAAATTCCAAAAACCCATAAAGGACACTATTTATAGGTTAGAAGAAAAAAAAACTTCTCTAAAACTTTTCCTTTTGAATGACGAAACATTTTGTCCAAATAAAACCACCAGAATAATCCATTTCGAGGGACTTAGCATTTCACAGACATAGCTCCACTCAATAGTTACCCAATTAAAATGATTCATTTAAAAATTTAATACCACAAAAAGCAAACTCAGAGTTCAGAGAGAGCATAGAGGAACAATATACACTCTAGCCTTATTCCTCATGAATTAAACTACCCTTCGACTACCTTCCATGGTTGTTAGCTGCTTTATCAGTCAACAAAATGTTATATTAATATTAAATACATAAAATAATATGATTTTGAGTGTTTATGTTTTGAAGTAAAAATTTTGAAAAATAACTTACAAAAAATTAGATAATATCATTTTACAGAAAATATAAAGAAAATTTTTTTGATCATGAAAATGATTTACATCGTTCAATATGTTTTTACCAATCAAACACAAAAAAAATAAATAAAAAATTATTTTTTATTTAAAAAAAATTTGTGAACCAAACATAATCTAATCGCTACAAGTCACACACTCTTGTTTTTCTAGCGCGTACAAATGATTCCCACTTCCCACGTCTCTGTCAGCTCTTTGGTTCTCACGGCCATAACCCCATAGTTCTCTTCCTTACTCTATTGCTACCCAGCAACAATCTAGTAATTTCACTTTTCTCCTCTGGAAAAAGAAGGCAGACTTCACTTCTAATTTCTGAAGTTCTAGTGAGGATAGTTGTGAAGAGGAGGAAATATATCTAATGGCAGATTGGGCTTGCTTTTTGTGTTGCTATCACAAGTACTTTTGTTTTCATTACCAGGGAACAAACAAGCAGCTGGAGTTTGGGAGCATGAAAACTAATGGCAAGGCCATTGCTATCCACACTCTTCTCTTCTTTGCCATCTATGCTGTTTTGATTGTCGGCGTCGCTGTCCACCTACATATCTACACTGGCTGAGCTTTGCCCTGCATGGTGAGACTCTCGTTATTGGTCTCTCTCCTCAAGATCTCTAGTGGGTTTTACTTTGTTAACTTTGTATTAGAAAAACAAAACTCTTGATGATATTTGGCCAATCGCTTAACCTTGACCATCTGAAATAATTAGTCCAAGCGATTTGTCATATGAAAATTGTCTATTTCATCATTTAGCTTCATAGACGTTTATTCCTTTGTCAACACAAGGATTTGGCCATATTAGGCCGTCCAGGGGGTTGTTACTGCCAAAACAACGTCCAACCCAAGGTTCCTCTTTCGGTCGGTCATCAACCTTTTGCTTTGTCTCCTGCTCCTCTCTTTTCCATATTCAATAATCTCCTTTTGTCTTTAAATGGCTGTTTCTATATGAGGTTCACTTAGCCTTCTTATGCAGCAATTTGCTTATAAAATTCTCCTACATATTCTCAATCCTTTCACACATAAATCCCAGGAGAAATATTGTGGCTGGAAACAAAAAAGAAGAGGGATGTCGGGAGATTGGGGGCCGGTAGTGGTAGCAGTGGTGCTGTTTGTGTTGTGCTCACCAGGGTTGCTGTTTCAACTGCCTGGAAACAAAAGAGCTGTGGAATTCGCCAACTTTCAGACCAGTCCCATCTCCATTTTTGTTCACACCATCATATTCTTTGGTCTAGTCACCATATTTGTCATTGCTGTTGGCATTCATATTTCTTCAGGGTAGAAAATTTCCATGCTGTTTGTTCCTTTAAAAAAATTATCATTTCAGATGAAGTTTCTTTAGATGTCAAACAGTGTTTGGATTGTATTAGTGTTTTTACTTTTTACCAATCCAGTTTCTTCACTCCTATGACGAAGTTCATATTTTATTGTTTTATGTGAATTGCCATTGATAAAAGAAAGCAACCATTTGTCTAGGGGGTTACATTAAACCAATTTCCAGCACAAAACAGGGCTATGCAGAAACGAGTGGCCTTAGCAATACCATTCACCATATACTTCCATTTTCTGGTTTGGTTCACTTGCACAATCTGATAGTTTCATACTAGTAGTTTACTGATTATTAGTGATCCTAACTGTGTAGTTTTATGCTAAATTCTGGATTTGTGTTATGTCATAAAAATGATCATAGTTAAATCTGTATCAGAAGTCAAAAGCGCTTCAACCTAAGACAACATTAACTATGTTTAATTATATATAAGACAATTACAGATAATTATGGAACGTCTTCAAGGGTCCTTTCATGTATGTTCATTCTTTTCAAGTTTTTTCATGTATGTGGAAGGTCCTTGAAGAGTCGTATCTCATACTCTTGTTTATATATGCATCGGGTATAAGTGTTGGACATAAAATCTTATTACTCAATTGAGCATTGATACTACGAGCTATACGATTATTCATTGCTCTCTAGTGAGAAACTTCTTGGAGTTTAATTCGTTCGGAATTGTTCCTTTCATGCTTGAAACGTTCTTGAACAGAAGAGATGTAGGTAGCAGCCTTAATATCAATACTTTCATCAGCAGCAACGCCAAAGAAGTTGTTGATTTGGCTCAAATTTTCTCGGTTCTTGTCAGCTGGTACAATGAATGAGAATCGCTTTGGTTGGGAAATCATATAATCCCGGTGAACTTGAAAGCTGATTGACGATGTTGCAGAAGAACCCTGGTTTGGCTTGACCTTGCCGGTGTATTGCTTGGCTGCTGGTGCTGCCTTGACAGCTCGGTAGAACAGCGTCAATTTCCCCTTGAAGAACCCTTGGTGCTTGCGATCGGATTCCATCTTAATTCCTGCCTAGCTATTGGACTCGAGATCAATTGATCAAATGATAAGTACTGACTGGTACGAAATACAAGAGTAGGGTGGCTTTATATAGTAGAGACTTGTCCACTGTTTCATTATCTTATAATCCAGTTTCAGATAAACACGAAATTTGTAAATGGAATGTGGTCCTTTAGGTAAATATATATCCGGAACTTTTGCATAATTTTACCTATATATTCCAAATTCTGTGTAGGATACGGAAACTTGTAAAGCAGATTATGTTTTGGGGGATATAAAGAGCCGATACATGATATCTATGTGCTTTATAGATATTAATTAATTATAAATTCATTGTATGTTTCATGCAAACCGCTGGCCTTTTATATAATTATTAAGGGAATCGGCATCATATTAGAGCAGTGGATCCTACCAAATAGAATATGTTTCTTTTCTCCCTAATTTCCAAATATTAAGACTTTAGAGAGCTCATTTGCATCCAGCTAGATAGGAATCCTCTTGCTTCTGCTCAAAAGGCACAAACACTGCCCCAACTTTAGCAGAAGCATGGCAATTTATGTATTTTTTCCCCTTGTGGAGGCTACTATATGCCTAATAGTAAGATAACTATTCAAGTATTGAAAAGTTAAGCCTCGAGTGAACTCGGATAGTATTGCAAACGATTCATTTCCTGAAATTACTCTTAGAAGATATTGGAGTATATTCGATTGAACATTAATTCGATTGTTCAGTTGCAACGTCTAAAAGATCTTAACTGTAAGTGTTTTTAAACATAATCATCTTTAATTTAAGGATTGGAAGATTATGAATAATTGGAGTCATTATAAGTTGTATCTTCAAAGAACATATCTGAATACAAATCTAAACATTTAAAACCCTTTTACTATGACTATGTTTCGGCCTGGACAACAGCTTTGGAAGCCACCTTAAATCCTGTACGTTTAAGAAATAACCAAGGGTGTAATCAATTTTGGCTTGTGGGAGACAAATGGGACTAGATTGATATCATCCTCACCCACCTATCCCCTACTTCTAATTCTCTTCATTTTGTTTCCTTTAGTAAGAATAGAGAAATTGGGAGAAGAAAGGATCAAGCATGGTGAATCTAATCCACTGCCAAACAGTAAGAAAAGTAATATCATCTTCATCACTTCAAAAGCTTGATGAAAAAGCTCATCATTTCTTCGTGAGAGTGTTATGAAACTAGTTGGGTGTTTATGGAGCAAGGAGTTCGTTTTTAAGTTTTAAACCTTAGTTCTAACTTCCGTTAATCTTTAGTTGTAATATGATTTCATTTCATTGTTGTTTGATTAATATTTGTTCAAAATCGGAGATCCGTTGTCTGATCATGATGCTTCCTAAATATGTTGATCTACTTCTCGTTAGGGATGAACATGGGTAGGGTCCGGTTTCTAATCAATTCGACTTGACCTGAAGATATATATCCTTCATCCTATATTTGATCTGACCTGAGTTTACGGGTGACTTCAGCCGGCCTAAATTCGATCCGACTTTTTGAAATAAAACCCAAACCCAACCTGACCCAAAATAAATATATTTATAAAAAAAAATCTTATTTTTATTCAATAAAAATAAAGATTTATTTGAAAAAAAATAATATATAGAGGATTATTATTGCTATAATCCCTAATATATAATGTAAATTTACATTATTTTCGGGTTGGGTCAAATATTTTATTCTCTAGACCCCAACCATACACGAACATATATCCTAAAATATACGACCTGACCTAATCTGACCCGAACCAGACCGACCCAATCCAAAACCAATTTAAAAAAAAATGATCCAATCAAATCGAGTCAGAACCAATTTAATTCGGATCTCGTACGCATTCCATTTTCTCGTAGTGAACTCTTACGTCGTGCTGATTTGTGATCGGACTTTATTCATCGAAAAGGATATGACTTTCGATTTTGTCTCTTTTCTCAAAATATCAATTCATCCTTTTTTTTAGACCTTTATCTCTGGTAATTTTTGTTTGTCCTTTTGGCTTGGGTTTTGGAGTTTATATAATGGTTGTTGGAGGTTAAATCCGATTTTGTGAAGGCTGGATTCTTTAGGATTGGATGAGATTTGTTTAAATATGAAGATAAGGTTGAGGTCGGATTAAGGTTTGGATTGTTGGGGTGGATTAAGGTTTTGGATTTAGGTGAGCTGGTCGGGTTGGAATAAGCTATTAGAATTTTTATTATATAAATTAATATGTAATTTTTTTATAGTTCGAGATAATTATAACATAATATCCGTTTAAAATTAAATATGTAATTTTTTTTAACTAGTTTCAATTATATATATATTATATGGTTTTTCAACGTTTTAAAGGAACACATGCAGTTGATTTCCACATTTCAGCCAACATATCATTTGATCATAGGGTAGATACATTTAAAAAAAAGTTTAAGGGTTACTGTTGCTGTTGTTTAATTATATTGTTTTATACCATTGGACGTTTTATAATAACAGAACTGTTAGTTTTTCCTTACGTGGATGCTAACTATTTTCAACTCATATAATATTACTGACGGATCTAATTAATGACGTGACATTTATTAAATAATCTATTATATGTAAATTACACCTCTACCCAAAAATCCCTAAATTTTTTCCTATTCTCTTAATCTTGAAAATGAACGAAGAGGACAAATAAATTCCCAAAATCAAACTTCAAACCAGAAATCGCTCGACGTTCACTCCAAGCGAAAGATGAGGTCGTCATTGAAGCGATTAAGGCCCTCGAGGAGCTGTTTCACGAGGGTTCCTCATTGTTAGAATCGAGAAACAACCGACCGTTGTCCTTGCCAGAAATGAAAACTCAGAGTCGAAGCTGTCGAACTGGTGCTTCACCTGCAAAAAGAATGTGGGGTTTAAGATTTGATTTACGCATAATAGTTAGTTAACTTAAAGAAATATTTATGTTTTTCATAATTATCATGTCATCAACTAAACACATTAATAATATTATATGAGGCGGAAACATCTAATGTCTACATAATCATAAACTATTAATTCCGTTAGTCAACACGGTCAACAATATAAAATGATGAAATTCAATAATTTCGAGGCTTAAATTGATACGAAAATATAATAGGAATAAAATCGATCAATTTAATTTACTACAGGAATAACAGTTACCCTTAATCCTAAATGTTGAGAATGATTACAAATTGTAATTTATAGAGGCAATGAAGTCAATGAGATTACAAATTAATTTGATAGCAATAGTTATGCTTTCCGGATTTCAAGCAGTGGTTAGGCAAACAACCAAGTGCTGTCAATATCACTCATCCACCCATGGAAAAGCAGTAGCATAAAATCACTTGACAAAGCCAATTATGCAAAAGTTTGGTTTCCAACTTAGTAGGCTGCTCTTTGGAATTCAAGCAGCTGCAATAATTCAACTGGATCAATTTATAGTTTAAATCAAATTATTATAACAAGTGTTTAAGTCTGGATTCATGTTTGATTGTTTACGCTTAAACACATATACAAGGCATGAATCAAGTGACCTTAATAAATAAAAGAATATTGTTATCTTTAAAAGTCTTGGTTTTGAACACGTCGTCAATATGGATGTTTAAACATTGATTATTAAATGAATAATTTTTAACAAATATTATCTTATAACCACCTCAAATTAAAATAAAAATAAAATATAAGAGTATATTCTTTAATAAAATTTCTTAACATATAGAATAAAAATATAACAAAATAAAAGTCCATAAAACGCGGGCGGCTGCCGTTGACTCTGTTTAGATTACTAAATCTGATCGTAGAAACTAAACTATACAGTGGTCAGATCAATGACAACATCATAACCATTAAAAGCATAGATGTAGGAAACTGGTTAGCAGTCAGCAAAGTGATCAATAATGTGACAGGGTTCATCCAATTATAGAACTAATTTTTACTGCATCTTTTAGTGGTAACCGGCGTTTCCAACCTCATGA